ACACACACACACACAAACACACTTTCAAAATTACGCTTTAAAGGTCAGTCATTGTGCGTTTTTCCTGCGTAAGGGCAAAAAAAAACACAATTAAAATTTATACTGCAGCTAAAAAAGAGGGGAAAAAAGTGGCAGCCTGCCCGGCTAGGTTAAATTCTTGATTTTAAAAAAGCTAAATCGGACCGTTTCCTTGCAACTCATAGTTGTTATATTAAAAATAACTGCCATATTTTTTAGAATCGCAGTAAAAAATAAAAAGTACACTAGCGTGCTGTTAACAAAAATTACTAATGGCGCTCTTTCAAACCAAAGTTTTTTCAGAAGTCTTCTAAAATATCACGGGTATGCTATTAATATATACATTTCTTAAGAACAGCTTTACCAGTTCCATTGTTTTCAGATTGATGTGAATGATCGTCGAAAGAAATGGCAGGCAACACAGCTAATTCAATGCAATACACGTTTATACGTGGAATTGATAGCATGGCCCTGGTTTGAGCTGCTCATCAACACGATGCCAATTGCTCAAGAAAGTAAAGTAGAAGAAAGATTGGAGCAGCTTAAGAATGACATTAAGGAAGCTCAAGCTACAGCGAATCGGAAACGTGGCGAAATAGAAGCACTGCATGAGCACATTAGTCTGTATACCGATGAACGAGACGCACTGCTGACTGATATCCGGAATTCACAATCAGGAAATTTGCAGTTGGAAAAGCAAATCGAGAAGATGAATGCCGAAAATGCTGGCCTAGAAGTTCTACTCAGTGAAGCGAATAATAAACTGATTGAGGAGCAGCAAAATAATAAGAACGAAGCTGAAGAGCGAAAAAATGTGGAATCAGAGTTGGAACATTTACAAAAAATGATTCAATCAGCAGAGCTTGGGAAACGGAAAAGTGAAGCCGAGAAAGAGTCGCTGAAAAGTCAGCTGAAAGTTTTGCTAGAAGAAATCACGCAACAAGAAGAAACGATCGCAAAGCTGAAGAAAGAATGCAAGAAGCGAGAAGAGATAGCAAAAAAGCTTGAATATGAGATTCGGGCGGAGGAGGAGCTCGCTCGGCAGGATGATTCCGGAAAAGTCCGGTTGTGTAGGATCCTTGCGGAAGCAGAGGAACGATTAGAGCGTGAAAAGTATGCGCGCAACAATGCAGACAAAGAGAAGCGGAAAGCAGACGGCGCCCTGAAAATTGCATTTGAAACACTGGAGGAGCTTCAGAAACAGCACCGAGATCTGGAAAGCAGTTGTCGCAAAAACGAAGTTGAAGCACATGCACTTGAAGCTCGCATAGAGAATATTAAAGCGCTGGGGGCACGAATTATCAAGGAGAATAAAGATAGTAATGAGCGCATGTGCGAACTCGAGGAGGCAATCGAAAAGGAGCGAGAGCTGCGCGCCAAAACAGACCGTATGCGATCGGAGCTACAACGTGACCTGGATGAGACGATGAACCAAGTGGATGAGCAGAATTGCAGAACTGGAGAGCAAATTGAAGCCGGGAAAAAGCATGAAGCCGAAATTGCAAGGCTTCGACGTGACGTCGAAAGTTTCCGCAATGCGCAGGAAACGTCCACCGACTGGGCAAGAAAGAAAAATGCAGACGCTGCATCCGAACTGAACGCTCAAATTGCGGCACTAAAACGAGGCAAAGAACAAGCCGAAATGGAACGCAGCGCCTTGAGCCGACAGCTGGAACAACTCAACGGCCAAGTGGACGCGATTGCTAAGAGTTGCGCAGAAGATGAGCGAATGATGAAACATACACAGCTTGCATTCGCTGACTTGCAGTTGAAATCGGACGAGCAAATCCGGGCACTCAGTGATCTGACCGTACAGCGGCGTCGTCTGTTCGACGATAACGAGCAGATGAAGCAGCAGCTGGGTAAACTGGCAGACCAGATGAACATTTTAACAAGGTTCTACATTGCCAGCGGCAGACATTTTTTAGTAGTTTGTAAAGCCAAAAAATATTTTACACTGACGAAAGGCAGAGGTATTCAGCAGTGATAATCCCCTTTTCGAACACTGTTTCAAGACCCTGCAGCCAGAAAGCTGTCTGTTTCTAGAGATTTCTGGCTACGCTACAAAAAGATACAATTTCACGACTGTGCATTAGTACC